CTTGAAGGGTACTATAGGGTTCTATACTTTAAGAGCTCCTGTAAGTGTTCCTGTAAGGCCTATACTGGGCTCCTCTTGCGGGCGCCTCTTGTAAGGTCGTTCTAGCGTCGGAGGCGGAAACCACTCCAGAGTCTAGGAGTTAGTGTTCATGGCTTCTCGTCTTCAAGAGCTCCAAAGGTGCATGAAGCTAGGTGGAGGATGACCGACAAGGTCCTACAAGGGCACAAGGGATCTGTAATCCCACCTTGTGACGGCCTTGCCTCGCCTGCGGCGGTGGGGTTTAGGGTCGGACGTTGCCAGTTTAGAGTTTAGAGTTTAGGCCTAGGCCTTCCCGTCCGCTTTTTTTTTGCATCCATGGAGAAGCAGATGAGTCTAATATAGGGGCCTTAATAATTCGAACAAGAATATGGGGCCCAAAAATAGTATTGGTAACTATTTCGGCCCCTACATTAAGCAGCTCGAATCTGTACTGGGCGCGAAAGGCTTTAGACTGCCAGGGCTGGTTTCGGATACAGGGCCTTACGGCCATAGAGCGTCCGGAGTTTAGACCACCAAGCCACCAAGCTGTGATCCAGGGATTCTTCAAGCATCGTCAACCTCACAGCCTCCTAACCTACTAAGGTGTACAGTGATAAAATAGAATATGCTGAATATAGCAGTCTATGCCATGCAATGTTATCCGGCAAATTTATAAATGCCAGTTCAAGACCACCACCACCACCACCACCTAAGAAGCCTCACAAAGAAAGTCCCCGACAGCCCCAACACAGGTCCTGAAAAAATCTCAGTGCTACTATCGGTGTTGAGTATAGGGTTTAGGGTTTAGTATAGGGGCCTCGATAATAATCAAAATAAGCCTTTGCTGTATAGTATACTACAATTACAGTACCGGAACCTTCAGAACGGTATTTGCAATTCTTTAGGCCCTTGTGTTGGACCCCTAAAACCCAAAACCAACCCGAAATGCCAAGACACACGCGAGGATGCGTTGGGGGCTCTGCCGTCAAGGAGAGGTGGCGAATGTAGGCATGCCTTCTCGAAGACGCTTGCCCCATCGGATTCGGGCATTGGGTATGTGGTGGGGCGACCTGAAGGTTTGGGATTTAGGGTCTAGGGTTTAGGGTTCGGGTTGAGAGGTTGGACTGACAACGACAGCAACAACCACACCCTTAGGATGTACAGGATGTGAGGTTTTTGGGATACTAGCAGCTTGACTAGGGTTGAGGGCCTTGGGGTTAAGGTCGTCTTTAGGGTTGAGGTGCTTCGGCTTCAGAACTGGGGCTTGCGGTCCGAAGCCCCAACTGCAGTCGAAGGGCAAGGTGTCATGACTGGCTGACTCCTTCCACTCCTGCCGATTTCATGGGATGAAGGCCATATACGTGGTTCACTGCTACTGTAAGCCCTCCGTCTCGTGTCTGCGCTTGGAGTCTTCCAGGGCTGGGTGACATGTTGTGCCTTCAGCTCGTGCTTTGGACCCGCTTTGTCTTTTGAGGCTGGGGGGCTCGGGGGAAAAGAAGGTTGATTCGGCCTCCGTAAACATTTCATAAAGACCTCAAGCGCCGCCCTTACAAACGAAAGAGTTTGCACAGCGGCACTGAACCCTTCACACATCCTCTCTCCCTCCGTGTCTCCCTTCTGCCATCCATATGTTCACATCATGTGCATGTAAACATAAACATGCAGAAACATACAATACACATATATACAGGTACATATACCTTGACATTTACATGTACTTATACATATGCATGTACATATGTGTATCTATATATATATATATACACACATATATATATATATATAATCTCTCTCTCTCTCTCTATTCTCGGCTCCAGCAGACAGCTCGCAAGTCCTGAAACCATGCGGCCACGGCAGCCAGGGACGCGACCAGCTGTCCAGAGCCCTCTCCGCTGCCGAGCTCCTGGCCCAAGCTAGTCTCGGTTTGGGGTTTGGGTTTTTTTCTGGTTGGGTGTGGGATTTAGGGTATGGGGCTTGGGGTTTAAGGTTTAGGGCTTACTGGTTTAGGGTTTTTTCTGGTTAGAGCTTGAATGGGCCCTTCATGGTTCCTCTAAGGGTTCCTAGAATGGTTCCTGTAAGGCTTCCTGTAAGAGTTCCGAGGGTTCATTTATGGCTCAACATTTGAGGGTCGTCGTCCGACTTGCTCAAGAGACTTTCAGATCTATCTCGACCCTGAACCGTCAGGGCATGTCAGGGTTTTCGGATCCTCCACGCGTAAAGCCCTAGCAGACTCTTGGGCTGGGTCGTCAGCTGTCTGCGAGCACTTACCCAGAATGTAAGTTATGCCCATTCTGATTTTGCAGTGGGTTTCCGACGTAGATAATGAGCGTGCCTCGGAAGCAGGGCTCCCTGAACTTGAACCACCATTACGGGCATTTGGACTTTGGTGTTTCTTGCTCTTCAACTGCGGGCCCTCCATGCTTTGTAGTCGACAAAACCAACTTTGTCAGGATTCGTGCTTGCGCCTGGGGAGTGCTTAGTACAATCCTTCATGCTCAGAATAGGACTTTTGGACTCGCTAGGGTAGAATGGTGTAGGGACCATCAGGGCGCAATTCGACTCTAAACTCTTCAGACCCCTTCACCCTAAACACTACTCGGTATAGTGTTCAGGATGAGGATGACTGCAGGGTTCAATGCTGAAGAACAAGGAGTCGTCTGCCAGGCTTCTTGGAATTCCACCCCTCAACAAAACTTTAAAAAAATATCACCCCCCAGTTCATTAACATTTATTAACTTGGTTTGGGACAGAAAACCTTCTCCCAAGCTGCAAGCCCGAAACCAGGGCTGCATTTACCAGGCCCCCTGCACCCTAAACCCTAAACCGCTCCTTCCACAGCTTGCACTGTGAGACCTTGGAGTGCTTCTGCAGCCATGGCACCTGGACCGCCACAGCGAGGGGGGTGAGTGTTTCGAGCCTTTTTGCGTCTTGAGGCTTAATGTAGGGGCCTTCACAACTAGAATAAGGAGCCCCGAAAATAGTATAGGCCATTTTTGAGGCCCCTATATTAGGGTGACGAGGAGGAGCGAGAATCTGTTAGAGCAGGGCCTCGCCAGTGCCCTTTTCTGCCACAGATATCTCCCAGCTTCGTCGGGCTGAAGTACAGAAATTGAGACTTTAGACCTGCGAGCTTTTGTCGAAAGCTTCAAGGATTAATTAGTAATTCATAGCGTCGAACTTCAGGTTGCGTGGCTTGGGGTTTGGTGTTTCTCCAAAACAAGCCAGGCACCGACATTGCTGGCTGCTTGCCAGCCTCCGCGCCACGTTGCTGCTGCTTTACCTCGTAGAAGCAAAGCCGGGTGAAGGGTTTTCGAATTCAAGGGTTGGTTATAGTCTCCAAAGTAGTTCCTTTTTGGGTTGCCTTTCTTGATCCGAGATTCTAGATATGGCATTGGTGACACCAAAACAAGAAACTATTCTAGGTGGGGCTGATTAAGATAGGGCTGCGGTTCTGGTCGTATGCTTGTGTTGTAGTGCAGCAATCGATTGCGGCTGTGCTTTACCCCGTGTCAACTTTCTTCTGTTGCTTTTCGTGAGCACTGCAGCCAGTGACCTTGCAGACCTGCAGATCCGTGACTTTTGCCGCTTGCCAGCCTCCTCCACTCTTCGGCCAGCACAAAAATGCTGCTAAGGCGGTGGTGAACGGCTCAAGCCACCCCAGGCCGCAAGTCTCAAGCACACGCCCACGCCATTGGAACACTAGCTCTGTTGTCGGTGTTACCATGAAAAGTATGGTATTTGCAATATAACCCTTTTCCGGTAGCAGGCAAAAACCCAAATAAGTCAAATGAAGGCTGAAGTCTTTGGGTGATGAGGGTCCACTTGGAGCTTGGAGGCCTGTGGGGTCCGTGTCGAAGTGGTGCCACTAAAAACGTCCAACAAACACTGTAAGCCGCCTCCTCCAACTTCTGAACCCCCTCCGAGCGGGCAAGGATGGACGTCGAAAGCCTGATCCCGCTACATGCAGCCTCTGCACTTGTGCACCCACGAGTCTGTGTCTGCATGACAGTGTCTTCGGGGCAACTATTAAACCCTGAAGCCTACATCCAAACCCATGGCGCCGAGATTCCCATCGACGGATGGCTTGCCGTGCACTGCGGCAAAGAGCGTGGAGGTCCGCGCTCTTCCCGCCAGGCTCCTTTCGGATTGAGGGCTTCACTATACAGGTCCAAACCCCCCAAATCACGAAATATTGCTCCTGTAACACTTTTGTTGCCACCGGATTGAAATCTCACCATGCTCATGTCACACTAAGCCACTAAGCCCTCAACCCTAAACCATACTTTCTAACCTCTTTAGATCAAGAACACCGAACCCCATTGAGGGTTCCATGAAGTCTCGCGGGTCGGGGCCCTGCATTAATGGGCAGCATGACTCCGGCTTCTCTGGCTGCAGATGTAGGTTTATAGGGTTTTGGGTTTCTTTTAATATGCAGTGGGTTCAGGGTTTAGGGTTTAGGGTATATAGGGTTGAGGGTTGACATAAATATGCAGTGGGTATAGGGTTTACGGTACTGTGGTTCAGGGAATTCTGAAGGCTGACGCTCAACCTACGACACCCTAAGCCCGAAGCCCTAGATTCTTCGACCGGGACTGTCACCAAGCAAAAGCATGGGATTTTACATCCTTCAGCGGCCCTGGCTGCGGTGTTTCGACAAGACTGCCCTAAAACAGTATGATCGGTACGCCGGGAACTCTGAAGACCGAATCTGTAAAGCCCTCCCGTCAAAGCCCCTAGCACCCACATGAAGCTATAGCCGTCAACTCAATTGAAACATGAAACCCTAGGCCCATCAAGCGCTGCACTGGCCCTAGGCCTCTCAAAGCCCTGAAAAAGCCGTGTGATCGCGCTCCAGGAGGTGCCCCACTGCACGAGAGACAGCGGATTCCACGTAGCCGGCGTCCAAGGCCCTGGGACACTAAGCGGCCTAGGACTTTAGGACCGTGGAGTTTGCGGCGCATACGGCTTCAACGACCTTCAGGGTTTAGGCTTTAGGGACTTCAGGCTTCGGGGGTTCTCTAAAGGGTTCGGGGGGCTTAGGGCCGGAGGAGAACGGTGCTGAAAGCCCTTAAAGGCAGGGCCACCCGAAGTTTGAGCCACGAAGCATCGACTGTGTAGGGCCGTGGTGCCAGGAGGATGCCGTCAATTCGAGGGGCTTAGGTTGTACCCTTTCAACCATAACCAAAGCGAAGGAGTAAAGAGAGAAGTGGAAGAAGAACAGACTTGCAAACGTAAAATGAATTGAAAGATGATGCCCGGGCTCACGCGGAGATGCCACTTTCGGTAGTCACAGCCGCTCATGACGGAAGAGGGGTACGGGCCGATGTTGCAGTAGAGGTTATGGGTGTGCTCCAAGCCGCACTGCTACTGTCGTCGGCGTCCAAACCCTGCCATGAATAATTAGAAATATACGTATAACAAGGAATAAGAAACCCCCAAAATAGTGTAGGTTATTATAGAGGCCCCTATATTAGACGGCCACAGCCATGAAAGGGATTCAGCCCTAATGCTGAGGACGACCAAAATCCTTGAATCCATCTAGGGCACCCAAATTGTCACCCAACCACTAACCCTTGCGTGATGCTTTATCGGTGCGAGAGGCAAGTAACATCAAATTCCGTAATTCCGCAGCACTTGATCTCGAACCTAATCTTGCCACCAAACCAAACCCGAAAACACCGACATACCTCGAGAACCCACAAGCGTTCATCAACGCACGAGTCCTCGAAACTAATGGCTTGAGATTTAGGATTCTATAAATGCCACGAAAACCCTATCATATAACCCTCAGAAATCCTATCAACGCCGATATAACGCTTTCACAACCTTCCAAAAAAAGGAACCACAGCTCCAACAAGCCGAAGTGCCGAGATTGCACGTAGAGCCAATCGCCGAACTGTCCCCAGAGCCTTCGCTTTAGGCTTGTGGTGTCAATGAATGTAGGGCTTAGGGTTCTACAGTAAGATTTAGGTTTAGGGTTTAGGGTTCTAAGATTTATGGGTTTAGGGTGGAGTGTTCTCAGACCTAGGTTTGGCGCATACTGTTGAAGGTCTAGGAATAGGGCTTAAGGGTTGAAGGTTCGAGTTTAGGGTATCGGGCTTAGGGTGTCCTTTCTGCCTGCAGCCGAGATAGCACTGGCCCGCATATGTAGGTTTCAACGGTTTAGGCTTCAACGGTTTAGGCTGTGGAGTGTAAAGCGTTTGGGGCTTAAGGGGTTAGTCAATGTAGGGGTCTTCCTTTGAAGGGTTCCTCTGAAGGGTTACTACAAGGGTTGCCATAGGGGCCCGAAGGCTTTCATTTCTTGGGGCTCGGGGCTTCATATTTAGTATGTTCTGTGACTTGGGAAAGGGTGTGCAAACCAATGATCAATCATTCTACATAGTGACTCTGTGATTGTGTTTCTTGTTCTTCGGCTGCGTCCTGCCATTCCTGCTGCTGCTCCGCGGCGACACTGGTACTCCAGCATTTGCTATTCTAGGCCGATCACGATCCTCGGCATCGTCACAAGCAGCTGGCGTCACCACCGTGAAAATCAGCAGCAGCAGCAGCAACAGCAGCAGCAGCAACAGCAGCAGCAACTGTCTGAAGCCAGCGATGTGTCCAGACACAAGGACAAAGAGCTCTGCTGCTAGCTACGGTCTTGCTGCTAATACCACTCCTCCACCAGATGCGCTGCCTGCTCAGCATAGGACATTGAAGCTGCTTACAACTGAATCCTAAACCCTAAACAACCCGAAACCCTAAACCCTAATCCCTAAACCCTAAACCCTATAAGCCCCAAACCCTATAAGCCCTAGGCCCTAAGCC